CCAACACTGTGCGGAGACCTTTACATGCATCTGCCTCATTGGATCCTCACCCACCCTGAGAAGAAGGTTCTGTTCCAGGACCCATTTTTTTAGGGGTGGCAACAAAGGCCTAACTGGGGAAGTGAATTAATTATTCACAGGGCACCAGACTCCACCCCCAGGCCACCCCTGGACCCTGCCCACTTGCCCAGTGTCCCGTGAGGTGACCTGGTCATCTGGTCAACAGAGCTCTGCCTTAAGCTTGTTCTTACTTCAAAGGGAGGCCCTGCTGCTGGTGAGGAGACCTGTGAAATGCTGACACTCCCCAGACCCGGGGCTGCCCTCAGTTCTTTCTCCTGGCCTCTAAAGTCAGGGGGCCTGGGCGACCTTGAAGGAGCCACTCTTTCCAAACCCTAACATCAGCCCTGGCCGGTTTGGCTCAGCGGTTAGAGCGTCCGCCTGCGGTCCAGAGAGACCCGGGTTCGGTTCCCGCTAAGGGCATGTACCTCGGTTGCAGTTTGTCCCCGGCCCTGGTTGGTCGTGCGGGTGGCAGCCACTCGATGTGTCCCTTTCGCATCGATGTTTCCCTCTCTCTCTCTTCCTCTCTCTCCCTCCCACTCTACCTGAACAAAAAAATGGAAAAATGTCCTCGGATGAGGATTAAAAAACAAACAAACAAACCCTAACATCAGGGGCTGCCCCTCCTCTGCTGCTGGGCGGAAGGTTCTATCCGGAGGGACTGGGGAGGCATGGCCCAGCCTGGCGTGCAGGAAGGACATGAACCTAGATCTCCACACTCATCTCCTGTAGCCAAGCCCAGGGTTCCCATCCCCAGCTACAGCCACTCTCCACCTGCACCGGGCTGGAAGGTTCCACGGCCAGCCGTGGGGAGCCTCCTCTCACCCGGCCCTGCAGCTTCATCTATAAAGCCGGATGTCAGTCGGCACCCACCTCAGAGGACTGGCTGAGGCTGAGTGAGGGGGTGCTGGCCCAGAGCACAGCGCCAGGGCTCCACTCCTGTGCCAAGGTTAGAAATCTTTAACGAGCCCAGTCCTTAACAGCTCGTAACTGCACTTACCAGATCTATAAAATGCAGACGATATTGCTTTCAGATCTGCAAAATGCAGAAATGGGCTCAGAGCCCAGTAGGTAGTGAGCACTTGATCAATGTGGCCAGTATGATTGTTATTAAAGTGAGACTAACAGTCCTCCCTCCTCACAGTGTAGTCCTGAGAGTCCAATCACATGAAATCCAGGCTACAGATCACAGAACCGGGCCTGGCGCACAGGAGGACCCTGCAGGTAGCCTCTGCCACCAGCCCCACCTGCTAAGGGTTCTGCTGTAGATCCTCCTCCAGAGCCTCCCACAAGCACGAGGGTGGGGGCTCCTGTGGAGCCTCCAGAGGTCAAAGCGGAGCTGCGAAGCTTTCAGAGGCCTTGACCACCCCAGGCCTTTGGAACATGCTTATCAGTGACAAGGGTTTTCCTTTGGGGTTCCGCAAAGTGTGGGGTGGCTATCACTGCGGATGGTCTGGGACCCCTGCGGGATATTGACACCCACCTGTGCATGGGAAAGGAGTGAGGCTGAGAGACAGGCCACCTGCCCAAGGTCAGGCTCTCCTACCTGGAAGGAGGCAGATTCAGCTGAGAAAGGCTGCTCCATGGTTGCTTCCCACCACAGCTTCTCTGCCAATGGCCAGGAGGTAACCAGGGACCTGGCACCTTTCATCCCTGGCCTTCATGCTCTCCCCAACCAGATGGGCACAAAGTGGTCACAGGCCACCTCTGCCAAGCCAAACTCACTTTGCCCAGGCTTCAGCTGGGCCAGAGAGGAGACCAGGAGTTGAGAGGTTACCCAAGACCCACCTTCTCCCCACCCAGAAGCCCAGGGCCTCCGCAGTGTGCAGGGAGGAAGGTCTTCCCTGATAGGTTCCTGGTCTCATCCTGGGATCTGCCCAGGGACCTCTTGTCCTCCCTGGGGATTTCCAGGGCGCAGAATTTCCATGAGTTAAACAACAACTGGCTGGAGGTTAAAGGTGAGCAGGCAGGTGGAAACCCTGTGGGGAGAGGTACATGGGAGGCTGGAGCCCTAGGGGCTGGCTTTTTCAGGCCTCTTACCACAGTCCATCTCCCCTTACCATTAGTGCCCATTTGCCCTGGCCCTGCCCTGCCCGGCTGGGATCCCTGAGTAGGAGGAGCAGAATTCACGGGTGCCCTTGGCCTATAAGAGGTCTGAGCCTGCTGGGACGAACGGCTGTTTCACCAAATCTTTTGGTCAAAAAGACCCAGGACAGCCCTGGCCGGTTTGGCTCAGCGGTTAGTGTCCGCCTGCAGTCCGGAGAGACCCGGGTTCGGTTCCCGCTAAGGGCATGTACCTCGGTTGCAGTTGTACCCGGCCCCTGGTTGGTCGTGCGGGTCGCAGGCACTCGATGTGTTCCCTTTCACATCGATGTTTCCCTCTCTCTCTCTTCCTCTCTCTCCCTCCCACTCTGTCTGTACAAAAAATGGAAAAATGTCCTCGGGTAAGGATAAAAAAAAAAAAAGACCCAGGACACAGACCCATTTCCGGGGCTGCAGGGCCCAAGGACCTACCCAAACAAGCTAGTTGAGACCTTTCTGGTTAACACACCTGTTTACACACCTTTTGCTGGCCGACTGTCATATTTGAGATTCACAAGTGCCAGACACTACTGTGCCTCAGGTGATGCCCCCACAGGCCCTGCCCTCTGGGAGCTTTTGTTCTGGGACCCCTCCCCCCAGACTGGGATGACACCTGCCTGGATGACACCAGGGCTGGAGGCTGGAGCAGACCCACACCAGCCTCTAGTCCTGACCTCCCCTCTGAGGTGTTCTGTGGGGAAGTGGGGTATGGGGGAGCCTGGAGCCAGATGCTCCAGGGTTTAGGGCCTGCTTTGGTTGCTTTTTTTCTTTATTGATTTTTTTAGAGAAAGGGAACAGAGAGGGAGAGAGATAAAAACATCGATGTGAGAGAACATCAACTGGTCACCTCCTGCATGCCCCCCACTGGGGATCGGGCCCACAACCTGGGCATGTGCCCTGACGGGGAATCGAACTGGTGACCTCTTGGTGCATGGGTCAACGCTCAACCACTGAGCCACACCAGCTGAGCTGCTTTGGTTGCTTTAAAATATGGTTTAATTGCATGAATACAAATATAAATTCTGGAAATAAGAGAAAACACAGAGAAGCATAAAGGACAGAACCACTCCAAATAACTATGGGTAGTTTTTTTTTTTGTTTTGTTTTGTTTTTTTTTATCCTCACCCGAGGACATTTTTCCATTTTTTGTTCAGGTAGAGTGGGAGGGAGAGAGAGGAACAGAGAGAGAGAGAGAAACATCGATGTGAAAGGGACACATCGAGTGGCTGCCACCCGCACGACCGACCAGGGCCGGGGACAAACTGCAACCGAGGTACGTGCCTTTAGCGGGAACCGAACCCGGGTCTCTCTAGACCACAGGTCGACACTCTAACCGCTGAGCCAAACCGGCCAGGGCAACTATGGGTAGTTTTAATGATTCTTTCCGTTTTTCTTTTCTTTGGTTAATCCTCACCCAAGGACACTTTTTCCACTGATTTTTTTTAGATAGAATGGAAAGGAGGGAGGGAGGGAGACTCATTGGTGTTAGCTTGTTAGAGGTGCCCCCTCAGACCGAGTGGGGATTTGGACTCACACTGAAGTTCAAGCATGCTCTAACATTTTTGTCAATCCTCACCCGAGGATAATGTTCCATTAATTTTCAGATCGAGTGAAAGGGAGAAACATCAATGTGAGATATATATATTGATGGGTTGCCTCCAGCATGACCCCAACTGGGGCCAGGGATTGAACCTATAATCCAGGTATGTATCCTTGACCGGGAATCAAACCTGTGACCCTTTGGTCCTCAGACCAATGCTCTAACCATGGAGCGAAATGGGCCAGGGCTGCTCTCACTTATTTAAGCAAATGGAGGCTTGCTTTCCCACATGCAGGGCGGCCCTGAACAGCGTGGACGCACTGGGCGGAAGTAGCAGGAACAGGTTGGGGGTGAGGCTTTTGAGGTTACAGCTGTGTTGTGGCCACTGTACACTTGGCCACATGTCTCTTCTAGGTGACAAGAATCAACTCCTGCCTTCACTACTGGGCCATTCCATGTCATGGCTCCCATCGTGGACTATACAAGAGTAGCTTGATCCCTGAGCCTCCTTCATGGGAGAAGCTCCTACTTACCGTCCTGCTCCCTCCTGTTCTCCAGGGACCTGCAGCTCCCAGCAGGCTTTCAGAGAGAGCGCCCCGCCCAACGGCTCTTGCCAAGGTCACCACTAACGACGTGGGTACACCCAATGGGCAGCCTGCACTAGCTCTTGGATCCATCAGCAGAATTTGTGTAAGTGATCACTCCCTCCTCCCGAAACAGTCCCTTAGCTTCCAGAACCCTCTCCCTCTTCACTTCTCACTTCATCTGTTGCCCTCAGTTCCTGGATGATGGCAAACACTGGAGTGGCCGAGTGGGCCACTTCTCCCCTCCTCCAGTGAGGCCTCGATGAGACTGGACAACTGCTCGTAAGAAGTTTCTGTAAGTGGAATCACCGGGTCCAAGGAGATGAACCTTTTCCTGAAACTTCTTATCCTTCAGAGAGAAAATCGTACCTTGAACATTAAACTGGCCCTGTGAGCTCTCCCACAAGTTATGTCATTTAAAAACTGGCGACCTTATTGCCGGACACCCCGCTGTTCCTGGAGCTGATTACTAGTAGCATCCTCCCAAAATTCATGTCTACCTGGAACTCAGAACGTGACCTTACTTGAAAGGCTATTTGTTGATATAACTGGTTAAGATGAGATCATACTGGATCAATGGTGAATTCTAAATCCAGTGACTAGTGTCCACGTAAGAGACAGCACACAGAGTAAGAACACCAGGCGAAGACAGGAAATTGATACGCCTACAAGCCAAGGAACAAGGACTGCTGGAAGCCAGTGGAAGCCAGGAGGCAGGGAGCACTCTTCCCACACCTAATTCTGGACTTACAGCCTTCAGATCCAACCAAATGGATGCACTCATAAGCCACCGAGTTGGTGGTAATTGGTCATGGTGGCCCCAAGAAACAAAGACACTAATCAAGAACCTTTTTACTTTCACTGGTGTGAAGCTGTGATCTGGTCAATTTTCACAAGGACAGTTTTGGTCAAAGGTTTTGTCAACCTTTCTTCCTGGGCCCCTTCAAGAGGCCTCCACCTGTGCCGGAGTGTAGAATACACTTCAAACACCTGTCTCTAACTTTAGACTCAGGACGCGCTGCTCCTCCAAGGGTCCCAGCTCTGGGCCCCCGAGATCCAACCTTCACACTAACTCCTGCCCCTCCTCGAGCCCCTGCAGATCCTCCGCTCCTTTCCCTCGCACCCCCCAAGGCTGAAGAACTTTGCAGGCTACAGAGCTGACTGTTGCGCCACTGACAAGAGCCTCTGCAGCCGCCTGTGCTCACGAGTCAGGTTTGAACACGGCGGTTTTTTGGCCACAGTGGACTGTGCCCAGCTAGGCCATCACTGCAGACGCAGCTCAGAGCAGACCCTCTGTTTCCCCCAGCAGGGAACCCCCTTCTCATGCTCTTCCTGACAGAGAAGCCAGGGGGCTTTGTGGTACCTGCCCTTTGGGGAGCAAGATGGCAAGGGTTCGGGAAGGTGCTGGAGGGTGGGGGGAAGACAAAAGTCCTGTATAATCACATCAGGGGACCTGAACCCGCTCAAAGATGAGCCAAACTGACGAATAAAATCTCAACAGTGAGACTCACCCTGTTGGCTGCAGGGTAAGGAGCTGGGGGTCTGAACACAGAACAAAGCAGACAGGCACTTACTGAGGGGAAAAAAAAAGCCACAGTCAACTTTAATTGTAACTGGCCAAACCGTGTCCAGGAATGTCTCTGAACAACCGAATAAAAAACAACATGATCCAAAATCTCCTACCGAAGAAACCAAGTTTCACCAGCCCGTGCTTCCGAGGCTCAGGCCAAGAGCAGTCCATTCTGGAGGCTGGCTGTCCCCCCACCCCAGTTTCTCATCCCGAGAAAAACTGGGGATGGGTGAGGGACCAGTCCCCTCCTCCCATCATGCTGGGAGCCTAGAAAGTCACTGGTGGGGTGTACCTCTCCTCCTACCCCTCTCCTGTCCTAAGGTAAATGAGACCCAGGGAAGCAGGTGAGGCAGCCTCGGTGCCCTCCTGGACTTCGAGCCAAAGCTCTAATCCAGTCCGTTCGGCTGGCTTTCCCAGCGTCCGGGTGGGGATTAAATCAAAGATGCACGAGAGGAAAGCTCCAATGCCCCATCTTCTCCACAGTGCGAGTCACGCAGCAGGACAAAAACAAAACAAGAGCCCTAATGAAACGCAGCGGTGACCGGCCCTCAGAAGACACGCTCAAACTCCGTCTGGTTGGTGGTGGTGGGATTGCGGCTCTGGTTGGTGGAAGGCTGGGTGATCTGGCTGCCCTTCCGGCGTGGCGGCGCCAGGTACTCGAACATGGATGTCAGGTGGGTGGAGAGCATGCCCTTGAGGTCCGAGGGCATGGGGTCAGACCAGAAGAAGTCATGGTTGAGGGCGTCGTCACTGTCAATGCGCTGCGAGGGGTCCAGCACCAGCAACTTGTCGATGAGGTCCAGGGCGTAGGGGTCACGCACATAGGCCTTCAGCCTGTCCTTCACCTTCCGCTTCTGGCCCTTGACTAGGTCCAGCTTCTCAAACAGCTCGTACTTGTCCACATTTGGCCACACCTGGGGGCAGGGCATGGAGAGGATGGAGTTAGTTCAGCAGATGAGTGGCTTGTTCATTGGTCAAGCACCTGAAGGGACTAAAAATTCTCCGTTCAGATGCTTCCAGACCACCCGTGGAGGATGAACTCAACCCCTCCTAGGTGAAAGCAGCAGCGACCATGTACTTGGCACCCTAGGTGCCAGGCCCTTTCACAGAACTCACTTGGAAAACATGTGCCACAACGCATACAGGCAGTTGTTTCACAGAAGAGAAACTCAACTCTGAGGTGAGAAGTTCAAATGCCTCGTCCAAGGCCACAGAACTGGTCATGGAGCAGAGACAGCCTGTGTGGCTCTAAGAGCAGGCCCTGTCCCTCCACCAGCCACCTCTCCAGAGAGGAGTTTTCCTTCTGTTCCACTCCCCACTCCTCCCCTGCCAGGGAGACTTCTGGATCTCTGCATCCTGCAGGGACCAGGAGCCCAGGCAGCCTGGCCACGCACCTCAGGGGTGATGGAGCCACAGAGCTGGCTGATGAGGGCAAGCTGATGCTGTTCCGTGTTGCCCTGCATGATAGGGCTGCGGGTCCACATCTCCGCCATGATGCACCCAGCACCCCACAGGTCAATGGGGGGGCCGTAGTCCCGCTCCCCTGGGAAGAAGAGTGCAGCAGGAGGGCCCCTTGAGCCCGAGGGCCTCCTGAGACGCGATGCCCTGGGGCGGGCGGCTCAAGAAGCCCTGGCAGCGGGGGCTGAGGCCAGGTTAAGTGCCTAGCCCCTGCCCCCTCTGCCCAGTCGGGGGTCCTCACCGAGCAATAGCTCCGGTGGCCGGTACCAGAGTGTCACCACACGGTTGGTATAGCGATTAGGCTGGCTGTTCTTGGCCAGACTGAAGGCCCGGGCCAGCCCAAAGTCTGCCAGTTTCAGGACCCCGTCTCGGGTGATGAGCACGTTGGCTGCCTTCATGTCCCTGTGTAGAATCTGCAGGAAGGGCAAGAGTGAGGGCTCAGTCAGGCTCACGGGTTTTTCAGCCACACCCACCCAGCAGTGGGAGAAACAGTCAGACCAAGCCCTGGTCTCTCGCCCCTCACCTTGTTCCTGTGGATGTAGTAGAGGCCATTCAGCAACATCTGCATGACCCTCTTGATCTCAGACAGTGTGAACTTGACTAACACGTTGCTCAGCAGTCCAGCAAGGTCATGCTCGCAGAAGTCAAACACCAGGTATATACTGCCTTTGCAGCGGTTATAAGGGGAAGCTGAGGCAGGGAGAATGGGGGGAGGGGAGCAAAAAGAAAAAAGTAAGAAAATCCCATATACAACTCAGTTGTCCATACACCCCTCCAACCCATGGGCACCCGGCATCCGTCTGTGTGTCCCTTCACTGGTAAAGTATTTCGTGAGTGCCTCCTCTGGGCCGGGTGCTGTGGCAGGCCCTGGGGAAGCACCAGCTACGACGAAAGGACCAAGAAAGCAGTCACAGTAGGTACGTCTGGGTTAAGAAGAGGTGATTTAAGTGTGTCCAGTTCTAACTTTGCCAACAAAGCCTTAAATTATAAGCCTCATTTACTTCATCTAAAAATGGGAACAAGAGACAAACGACTTACCTTTGGTTCGACAGATTTCAATCAAGTTGACCACATTCTCATGTTTTAGAAGCTGGAGAATCTTGATTTCCCGCAAGGCTGTGATGGGGAACTGTGTGGGAGAAAGACAGAGGGGGTCAAAAATGAGTGAGCGCACTACAGACCAAAGAACTGGCCACAGGGTCTATACTAAGGTGCACAGGTTGGGAGACAGAGTAAAATCACCGGCTCTGAAATCAGCTATCAGATGCAGTATCTGAAAAAGAAGTGTAAAACAGTACGCACCCCTCAATGAGTTGTTTTGAAACAATGAATCGAAATAGCGATACTTAACCACTTCACTATTAGATACTAAATGCTCTATTGCTTCTTCAACTTTAAAATTTTAGCTCTTTGCCTGTTTCATTTGTGGGGTGATAACAAAAATAGCTATTAAGAAACTTCCTTGCTAAGAAGTAGGCCAGTGAAAACTGGATTAGAACTAAGATAGGGTGGGGAGAGAGCCTACTCCTTTTCAGTTGAGTACCATATACTCTTTTATTTATTTACTTACTTATTAAATCCTCACCTGAGGATATTTTCTGTTTATCTTCAGGGAGGGAGGGAGGGAGAGACATGATATGAGAGAGACACATGGACTGGTTGCTTCCCCTACAACCAAGCTGGGCTGAGGACTAACCTGAGGACAAACCGCAACCAAGGTACTGTGCCCTTGGCCAGAATTGAACCCACGACTCTTTGGCCCGCGGGCCGACGCTCTAACTGCTGAGTCAAACTGACCAGGACACCAGACTCTTTTAAAGCCATTGTATGTATTTTTCTTTAATACTGACCAAAATTAAACACTAAGGAAAACAAATTTAAAGGCTTCCTAACTTCACAAACCGCTTTGCACTCAGTGCAAGCATGAGCTCCCCCTCCTGGCCCTAAACATATTTGCCTAAGAATGAAATATCAAATACTTGAAAACAGTTGAACTAGAAGATTTAATTTAGAAGTCAAATCCCTGGTGCCTTGGAAATTCCCAAACTACTATACATAAATTAAATCTCAACATGAGAATCCTAGAAGCAGCAGGGTGGAAACCCAAGTGCCCAGGGGAGTTGGCTGCCTGCTACCTGACCATACTCACCCCCTCCTTCTCGTTCTCCATCAGTACCTTCTTCAAAGCCACCTTCTGGCCAGTCAAGCGATGCTTTGCTTTAAACACCTCCCTGCAGGTGGAGAGGAGGACTCAAAGCTCATCAGGCCATTTTTGCAGGGCCTCCCCCTCCCCCACCAGAAGAGGAGGACAGGAAAAAGGGGACTCCAGGGCGGGGCTGGGCCTGGTACTTGGGGCACTCGGCTACCCCACCACGCGCTATTTGCGGTCCCTCTTCGAATCCCTACTTTCTCCCCTCAGGCTCTTCTTCCCACCCAGGCGTCTCTCGGAGAGATCCTGCTCCCTCACAAGCTCCTCTCTGCAACCCCTCCCCATCCCCCATCACGGGCCTCAGGCTCCACCCCGCCAACCAGCTCCGTCAGACCCGGGCGGGATGCAGCGCGGCCTAGCGAGATCAGGGAACAAGTCTAGGGCTAGGTGGCCCCCTGACCACCACCGGCCCAGCCCCGTGCGTCCCGACGTCGGTCCTGAAGGGTGCAGGCCCAAGTCACCGGGTCCCTCGGGCCCAGCCTTACCCAAAGGTGCCTTGGCCGATCTTAGCGAGCTTCTCATATTTGGTCACCTCATCACAAAAGGGGCACTCCACTGAATCGTACTGCTTTGCCATGGCCACCTCCAAAGCGCCACCACCGCCCCCAGCCGCCGCCGCCGCTCCCGCTCCGGGTCCCGTCGCCGTGCTCCAGGCCCCTCCGCGGCCGCGCCACTTCCGCCTCCACGGCCACTTCCGGCCTCGCGGCGCCGACCCCGCCTCTTCCGTTCGTCGCCCGCCGCCAGGCCCCCTGGGACTTGTAGTTCCCGGGAGGCCAGGAGGAACCGGAGCTGCAGAAGCGCCTCCGCCGCCACCGCTACCCCCACCTCCGCCGCCGCCACTGCTGGCGGCGACCCCGATCGGGGGTGCGGGAAGCCGGGGCGCCGGGGCTGGGGCTCGGGGTGGTGCGTCCCGCTGCATTGGCCCGGGCCGCCGCTGCTGCCGAATCCGCTGCCGCTCTGGCGCCCGATCCCGGGCCAGCCGCAGTGCCCTGCTCCTCCTCCTCCGACGGCGCCGCCTCCGCCGGGCTGCGCTGGGCGGCGGGCGGGGGGGCGGCCCCCAAGCCGCGGCCTGGGGGCTCCCTGACCGGGCCCGGGCCCGGGGCGGCCGGGCGAGGGGGCGAGACGGGAAGAGCCGACGAGGAGGCGGCCCGAGAGCCCGGGAGGGGGCGCGTTATAAAGGGGGAGGTGCCCGGGCCTCTCCCTCCCCTCCCCCTTCACCCGCCCCCTCCCTCCTCCCTCCCGCCCTTCGCGGCCGCACCTGCCGCCGCCGCCCGCCCGCTGTCCGCCGGCGGCCCTCAGCGCGTCACCGCCCGCGGCCCCTCCTCCGCCTTCGGAGGTGGGGCCCGCACTCGACACCTGGCTGCGGGGCTCCTTGCCGTGTGCCTCAGTTTACCGCCACATGCCAGCTGCCGCGGGGAACCCCTTCCTCCCCGGCTCGGAGTGCCCCCCCCCCCCTTAACTGGTGAAGGCGGGAGGCAGCCAGGGAGCGGCCTCGGGTCCTGGGAGGAGAGAACGGCCCCGCCGCCGACTCCCTGGGCCTCCGCCACCCGCCGTTGACATGGCAACCGATGACCGCCAGGGGGCGCGGCGACACTGGAAGCGGCGAGCGAGCAACGCCCGGGTCTTCCAGCCTTGGACCCCCCTGTTCTCCGGGAGGCAGAGATGAAACCCACTGGACCTGCGTCCTCACCGAGCTGGGTCGGAGCTGGTCCAGCCCTGGGTCAGTAATCACAAAAATAGCATTCACTCAGCAGCCCTGTGTGCTCAGGAAGTGCTAGGCGTTCCTGCGAATCCTGAATTAACAGCCTCATAGTCAGGATCACTAACCCATTTTACAGAAGAGAACGCTGAGGCTCAGAGAGGTGAGGTCATTTGCTTAACCAAGACCACATAGTGACAAAACTGAGACTCGAATCTGGTCTGTCTGAAGATCCTGACTCAGGCTATTTACAGTTTGGCCAGGAGTATAACAGTGGTTCTGTTTGAGGCCTACTGTCCTTATGCTAGGCACCAAGCCCACCCTTCATTCACCCAGTGTCTTCCTCTCTGACCCTATGCCCCAGACTTTCCCCAGCACCTTTCTGATACCATCCTGCTCCAGGGGCTCCCCGATTCTTCCTCCAGCTCTACTTAACAACCAGCCCCCAGCAAATCTGTCTGCTACCTCCTCTGCACCCTTTGGATCTGCCCCTTCCCTCCAGTACTCTGTCCATGGATTCTGAGACCCGGCCTCCCCAGTTTGGCCTCTTCATCGGTCCCCCTCCCAGCATCCACCAAATCATTCTGAAGTACATTTGCATGTATTTCCCCTCACTGTCTTCAGGAAAAATCATTGTGACATTTGAGGCCCTTTCCAGCTCCCCTTCTCGGCTGTGGCCTTGCGAATCTCCTGTGTTTCCTAACTTCCCGGGCCTTCCTGCCTTTAGGGCTGTGCTCCTTGACTGCACCCCAGAACCCTCTACCTGCAGGCAACCCTCGAGCTCTTACCCACACATTTGACCTTGAAGCGGCCTCGCAGGAGGAGCAGGGAAGGGTCTGGTGATCCAGGTTTCCAAGAGACGCTGTTCTGGGGGAGGGCCCTTCCAGGGAGGCCTTGAGGGTTGGGTGAGGAGCAAGGGGCCCTCTCCTGCGGGCATTGTGGAGCCAGCAAGGGTTTTAGGCAGTGGAGGGGCGGAGTGAGCTGGGATCAGCTTCGTGGATACACTATTAGTAAAGAGGCCATTGCTAAAGTGGAGGTGGTGAGGGCAAGAAGGGAGAAAATAATAATTGTAGTAATTACAATTCATTGAGGGAACATAAAATGGTCCAAGCTGTACACTTAGCTCTTTATGGGAATGATCTCAATTCTCACCCAGCCACAGGAAGTGGGCACTTTTACCATCTCCACTGTACATGTAAGGACATTGAAACTCAGAGGTGACATCACCTGGCCAGGATCAAACAGTTGGCCAGTGGCCACACTGATATTTGAAATGGTTTCATCTGGCACAAACCCCAAGCACTTATCCATGTCAGGACCATGCCCGTATGGGCTCAGGGTGGACCTAGGGCACAGTCATGGCACAGCACCGCTGATAGGTGCCATGGGTGCCAATGGGCGGTGGGGGAGGGCATGGGAGCATAGTGGTCTGCCATGGGCTGGGTGGCTTTCACTAGCAGACTCAGGCCGGGGCCCCTGCCTGCTCCCCACAAACCCTCCCTAAGTCACATCCTGTGGGCAGAAGCCTTAGCAGAAGTTCCGGTTGTGTCATCACCTCCACCCCACCATCCCTGGCCTGAACCCCAACATTACCAGTCACTTCCCTTTGGGGCCTTGTGCCCCAGCCTTCCCTGTGGAAGGAGGGTAGGCAGGCAGGGTCAGAAGCCCTTCGGAAGGCTGCCCAGGCTGCCCAAGGCTGGGACTCCAGATCACCCAGGTGGAAGTGAGGAGAAATGAGGTTTTAGCTAGAAATGACTTTTCATTAACTTTGACTTCTATTTGCTGGTTTGAGGGAACTGTTACTGCTTCTATGGGTCAGCTAAGCCAGCCAGGCCAGACCTGTGGCCAGTACTCAGTAAATGTTGCTGATTGACCAGGCTCAAGAGAAGCTCTGGTCCTGCTGCTGTTTTACAGTCAGGAAAACTGAGGCACAGAATAGAAAAGGGAGCTACGTCCCGGACGGTGTGGCTCAGTGGTTGAGCATCAACCCATGCACCAAGAGGTCGCCGGTTCAATTCCCAGTCAGGGCACGTGGCCAGGTCGTGGGCCCGATCCCCTTCGGGGGTCATGTAGGAGGAGGCCAGTCGATGTTTTCTCTTTCCCTTCCCCTTTCCCTTCCTCTCTCACTAAAACCAATAAAAAAAAGAAAGGGAGCTACTGGCCAGCTATTTGACCCTGACCTGGACCCTCTGTTTGCCTCCCTCAACCAAGGACAGGCTGGAGGGTGTATGGAGGGAAGGGGAAGACAGGCTCATGGAGTAGACTGATCTTGGCTGCTGGTATGTCTTGGGAGAGAAGGGTCCCTGGATAGGGGGGTACAGGACAGAGAACGGCTGTGTGAGACCCACAGCCTTGTACCACCATGAACATTCTGCCCCCACCAGCCAGGTTACTGGCTCTGTCCCTGGCCCTGTGTTGATGTGTGTCACCCCCCTGGAACTTTACAGGAGGTCACTCTTAGGAGGTTGCTATTTTTGAGCCCAAGTTATAGAAGTGGAAATTGAGACTCAGAGTGGTGAAGCGGCCTGCCCAAGGCCACACAGCCAGGAAGCTACGGAGCTGGGATTCAAGGCCAGTCTCCTTTCAAAGGCCGGGGTCATTTACCAGCATCCTACACTGCCCCCAATACTGCGCAACTGGGGCAAGCCGGGGACAGGAATCCACTGACCCACAGTACCGCAGGGATGGAGCCGATATGGATGTGTAAGGCCAGTTCCTCTCGGGGAGCACGAGGTCTGTTTGAAACATGCAAATAAAGACAAATAAATATAATATGGATGATACTCTCAGTATAAATGTTTTATATCATGACCATGGGATCATGTGAGGGACGTTATATTTGTCCCATTTTAATGGTGGGAAAAAGGATGCTCGAAGAGATGATGGGACTTGCCCAAGATCATGCACGTGGGGTCTGAACTCAGGTTTGCCTGAGTCAGATGCCTTTGACCTAGCCCAACTGCAGGCATCTGAGTCATAAACTGGTGAAGCAGGCAAGGCAGGAGGGGACAGGAATCGGAGCAGGGTTCCTGGGGGCACTGTGGCTCAGTCTAGATCTGAGCGACTCAACAGAAGCTGCATTCCAGGTGTGGTCCAGCCCAAGCAAAGGCCGGAGGAAAGGAAAGCATTGTGTGTTCAGGGTTGCGGAGCAGAGTGTGGCTGGCCTCCAGCACACGCTGAGGAGGGCCTGTGGGACAGCCACCCGCCGGCAGGTCCCCAGCCGCACTCCCAACGGCCACTCGAGGCGGCACAAAGGCGGCTCTGAGCTCAGCAGAGCCCCACACTGAGCCCCATTCATTCTCCCAGAGATGTTGCAATTGCCCTGGCGCCAGGGCCAGCACCAGGGCCCCCAGCACTGACAAGGCGACTCCAGCACACAACACAGCCTCGAGGTGGCCGGGACTCCGGGGTCGCACACTATGTGCCCGATGCTGGCCTGAACCATACCATCCCTAGGCACCAACTGCCAGGGTTTGCTGAAGCCACAGTGCATTGGCCTGGGCCGACATTTGCTCCTTCCATCCAACAACCCCAGGAAGTAACCTATTCCACAGACGAGGAAACAGACGCAGAGCGGTAAAGTGTCTTTTGAAGGGTCACACAGTACCTACCTCGAGAGAGGGCCTGGCCGGGAAGCCCGCCCTGGCTGATGCCACGGCCTCAGCATTCAGCCCAAGTCATTGGGACTGCCCCCTGGGGGAGAAGCCAGGGACCCACTGGGAAGATCCCCAGCTGCGGCCAGGCCACAGGCCCCTCTCCCTCTCTAACCACAACCCTGACATGGAAGGGACGCCAGCCTGGGAGCTAGGGCACCCGCATGTCTGTCTAGTCTCTGGTCTTTAGCCTCACTTTTCTAATCTGTAAAATGGGACAGTACCAGAATTTGCCTCACAGGTCAATCTGTGGAGGCTTCTAGTTCTGTGCCTGGATCATAA